ATTATATTAATCATGACTATAAAACCATCATTGATTTGACATCTTTTATACCCTAAATTAATAAATAAAAAGTTTTTTAAATCCCAACACCTAGATTGTTGTTATTTTTAAAATCATCAAAACTTGTTGAATCTTTTGGCTGTAGTAATACTATGTACAACTTTTATAGTTTTTGTTGCATTGACATTCTGTTATCTTCATCCTTCAAAAGTATCTTGTCAATCAGTTCCACGTTGTTCTCCGAGTGCAGAGGTTGTCTCTCACCCGGCTCTGGAACCCAATTGAGCCATGTGTTACCTTTGGTCAAATTTAATTTAATATAGAACATCACAGTTATTTTATAACACAATGTACAACATTTCATAACTAAATGTAATTTAAAGGGTTCTTACCCTAATATTTTGGTGGCTCAGGCATTATGACCTAGCATTTTCGATTTTAATAACCTGATGATGGACTGTGTAGTCCGAAAACGTTTGTTTTATTGATGTGGCCCTTTTAAGGGTTTTTTAAATAAATATACCCATTTACAAAGATTAACCTCTTTTTGTTATACGTGGTATACAGCCAGCTACAGGAATTTTTTCCTTGTGGATTTAGTTTATTTTTACCTTTTTGTGACGAATAATTATTATATTGGTTATTTTCTAATTGTCAGACTGTACGGAGGCTCCAATGCTCGTGTAAACGGAAACGAGATCAAATTCATTGGTTCTTGTAAATATATTATGGCCCAAGTGAAATGTTACAAAAAAGGTGATAAACGTGAACAATTTTAACCATAGAGAGTGTTACTTCTTTTTATAGTAATGAAGAGTCTAACATAGAGTAAGATAGCTAACACAAGGTACATAGATTTAATTGTTTTTATTACTATCCTTTGTTCTTGAACGTGAAATTTGCTGCCAGGGAAAAACCGTTGCAAATTTAGATGTTTTATATATCACAAGCTTTTGAACTTTAACGCCGTTACAACGTCCTTAATAAGCTTTATATAATACTAGATTATAATGTAAGAAAATTTTTGGGACAAACCCCGATGTACCAAGTCACCTAGGAATTGAACACAGAAAGAGTCCCACAGGTCGATCCTTTTGATAAGGTGGGTGTCTGGGATGAGTGAATTTTCCCCTACGAGGGAGTCCGAGCTGTATAGCTAAATTTGGATTTTCTTCAGTAAACGAATTTAAAGGAAATATAAAGTTAATTTGTTTATAAAGCTATAGCTCGTAAACTATTTGACGTACAGTGTCCAAGTTTAGCATAAATGAACTACATATATTGAAAAATATTCTTGTGGAATCTTAACATAGTACGTGAACAGCATAGTTGGTCCCTTAATTATAAATGACATGTAAAACAGATTTGTGTTTGTAACTCTCATTCAATTTGAACGCGGTTAGCTTTATTTTGTAGGTCTTTTAAAAGCGATTTAAAAAAGTTTTTGACATTTTTTGTAAAACAAACAGTGGAGAAGATATGCGAAGAAAAATTGTAAAAAAATAATACTACAAATAAACAATGTCTCCGAAATTTTTTAGACTTCCGAGTACTTACCAACGTATTCTACATAATTTTATCTAAAAAATTACTTAAAATCATCTAACTCCTAAAAATGTCATCAAAACGATGATTTTGAAGCTCTTCCCACTGGTTAAAGAAGTTATTATAGATTCACACAAAAGTTGTGTATTTTCAACTCTAAATTTCTAATTTAATTAATTATTCTAATTTTATATCTATATCCATAATAGAATCCATAATCCAATTTCAAAATGTTTATTTAAATAAAAATGAAGGGTTCCAGTTGAAAATTCAAAGTTGCTACACCCACCGCGTTCGCAGGGAGAATAAGAACCCTGCTATTGCATAAGTATATAGATTTTGAAAAACCATTAAAAAAAATTCCTAAGTTTCTTCGATACGACGTCTAGTTCTCGAGATATTTGACAATCGCCTTTCTGGACGGAGCTCTTTAATAATGTAAATAATATTATTCAAACCGGAAATAAGCCGAAGGGAGGGAAAGGTCTGAGTGTAAAATTCGTTTGCGATGTTGCCAAATTTACCGGATCTCGGTTTGTCTACAAAATGTATATTTAGCATATACACAACGGATCGCTCGCACTGCCTCTACAGCGGATTTAGTGGAACTACTGCAATATAAAATTCACCAAAAGGGGTGCAAAATGAGGTCCAGACAAAAATCGATTTCTTTGTACCCCCATCATTGTTACATCGAGATGTCAGTATATACACGTGAATACAAGGTGAGATCCAAAATCGGATCTCGCCTTGCAAAACGGATCTCATTTTGTATAGCTTATGATACAAACGGATCTCGCCTTGATATATGAAGACATATATATATATATATATATATATATATATATATATATTATATATATATATATATATATATATATATATAGTCTAAATGTCCCCTCTGCACTAACTATTTTGCTAGTAACGAGAATATGATCGTAAAATATTATTTTATTAATTAGATTTTTATGGAGATAGCGAGATGGTTCTAAATCACATATATTTATTGGGTCTCTGATTCCGTATAAGATGATTTATATGTTTTGCACATATTTGATTATTCATTACTTACTTACGAACCATACTGTTCTACTAAATTTATGCGAACATATAAAACTATTAAAAAATATTTTTATCTGGTAATAAAAGTTTAACTCCACTTTGAAAATAATTTGCCAACGTTGCGAAACATGTAAGTATATAAATGACAACAGAGAGATACTCAACATCTGGAGCTCCATAGCCCTCTGATTCACATGAATCTTATTCACTACCTTTTATGTGAGTCTTAATATTTCCGCTCCATGAGTGAGTACGGTAACACACATTGGTCAAAGATTTCCCTTTTTGACGCATATTATGAGACGATTTAAATACATAGTTTAATTTACCAAATGCTGCCCAGGCTAATCCTATGTGACGTGGGAGCTCACACGCCTGGTTATCTCTGCACCAGATTAGTCATTATTTGCGTCTTGTTCATATTAATCTTTAGGCCCACCTTCAAGGAAGGATATAGCATCATCCATATGTTCCGCTAGAAGGACGATGTCATCTGAAAATCTCAAATGACTCAGCTTCTCTCCATTTATGTTGATACCAGGCTCGTTCAGATGTGCCTTCTTACAAGTATGTTCTGTTACAATACCTTCTATCTTCCAGAAACAAATCTTTGTAATTCATTTTATAGAGGGCGGCATATTATGCACTAGAAAGCATGAATTCTGTCTTTTCTCTCTAATCGCCTGTCTACGTCCACACTATAACATAATATGTTTTTTATTTATTGAGAAGTCATCAGGCAAATAACTGTAGGAGGGAAACGTAGTTATTTAGTAATATTCACACTTTAGAAGCACCATTTTATTTAGATGACAGAAAATAGACAACACTATGCTGAATTATTTGCAAATAATTGTATTCCATAAACAAATTACTGTAATTATTTTATAAAGAAGGGAATATTATGCTTTAGAACGCATGAAAGACTGTCCACTTTGTAAAGAGTAATCAGTGAAATAATTTCATATATGAAACTCAAGAAAACACAAACTCATCTATCTATAGTAAACATTTACGATTCGATAGAATATGCAAGTGACGAAGACTTAGAAGTTAGAAGTTAGGTTTGTATAAATATCTAAACGAAACTTGTGAAAATATATCCACAAATGACATAGTGATGATACTACGAGAATTCAATGCAAAAGTTGGAAAAAAAAATTACAGATAGGTAGCAGGATAACAGGAAATGAAACAATACATGAAAAAACGACAATTACGGAACAATAATATGCAACCTAGCTCTGGAGAAAAATTGTGCCATATTGTGAACACAAAATTTTGGCATAGTAGGAAAAATTATTGTATTAACGAAAATGTAAAGGCCTGAAAACTTTTTTTTTTGTTTGTGTTTTTTATTTTTTGATTTCCATAGATTCTAACAACTTTGAGACAGAATTAAATATAATTAAGCAAATAGCAGTAAACAACGGATACAACGAACAAACAATTAATAAAATGTTAAATCAAAAACTACACAAGAAAGCCCTGAAATTAGTATTTCCACCACCAGAGAAAAAACCCAGTACCTTCTGCTCGATTACATATACAGGCAAAATAACAACAAAAATTGCCAAACACATAAAAAGAAAGGAATAACACCAGCTTTCCGAACAAATAACAACCTAGGCAAATATATTAAAAATAACAAGAGCCAAAATAAAAAACACTTAAATAGTGGTGTGTACAAACTTCAATGTGGCGACTGCCCAAAAACTTACATCGGTAAAACTGGTAGAAACTTTAATAAACGAATAGCAGAACATAAAAGGGCTTTCAATAATAGAAAAACAGATTCGACATACGCACTTCACCTTCTAGATCATAATCATTCTTTTAATGACAAATTTAAAATTCTTCACATTCAAAATAAAGGCTTTAAGCTATCTTTGTTAGAATCTATGGAAATCAACAAATTAAGAAACACAGATATAATTCTGAATGACCAACTTGAGACAAACAGTTCTCCCCTCCTCAACCTATTTCATTAAAGACTATAAATTTGTAAACCCAAGCCAAAAATAGATCATCTGAGAAAGGCAATCAGCCGAAACAGCTGTAGTGATAAGAGTTAAAATAAATTTTGTGGAAGTTTGAAAACAAAGTTTTCAGTGTTTTATTGTTACATAAAATGAATTTCCATCAAGTAACGGTCGAATCCATCAATTATTTAAAATGTAAAGGTTTAAATCTTAGGTAGTAGTGAACCAAAAAAATTAGGGAACGAATAAGCACAAGTAATAAAACGTACTAGAGATAACAAAAAATATTAAGCGGTATATCGAAACTATAGTAACTTGTAACTTATTTTCATATTCATATCGCAAAAAAGCGTTAACACATTACTCCAGTATTTAAATCATTTTCGATTATATAAAGTTAAAAATAACTACCTGGTCTATATCGGAACTGCGGCTTGGTTGATTCATTGTATATTTATCCAGCCAAACAAAATTTGGCTTACTATAAATGGAAACTAAAAAAACACCAATATTATTTTAAACATAAAAAGGTATAATTACAAGTACCTATAAATTTTCTACAAAATCTAATATTCTAAATAATATTAAAACAACACATAACTTTTAAATATTAAATATTACAAATATACTTGCTAAATTTACAACTTGGGAAAACTTTATTTCCTTTTTTTCAACTATCTTTAAAAATTGTTTCTAATGAATTATTCAATTTTTGGCCAAGCAATAAAAGTGTAAAATTATTGAAAAATTAAGAAAGTTACTAGGCATGATTTGATTGTTTGAAAAGTTTTAAAAAGTTAACATAAGGGGGGCGCCTTCTGTCGTAAGTAATGAAAAAATACTTTGTTTTTTAAAGAATAGTTCGAAAAATTGTTACGTTTTGTACGTTGCAATATTGTTAATAAACTGTGTACCGTATGGAAAAATGTTTTACAGATTAAAAAAAGGTATATGCTATAACTTGTAAAACCAGACTTTGGACTTAACTTTGTCCTATAAACAAAAAAGTTTCCAAAATGGCAAATTTAGTTGAAAATGAACTTTTTCTATAAAAATAGATTTCTTAATAATGAATTAATTAATTTTTAATTAATATAATAGTCAAGATCCCACTTTAAAATCACTCCGATCATAACTTAGTTAATCAAACTTACATTTACATACATTTAAGAATAGGGGAATACATTGATAACGGGTTGCCAGTCAAAAAGTGGACGCAAGTATTTTTAATTCAAATATATGGTAATTAATTTTTGAACGAAAATTGTATTTCGTTCATTTAGGTTAAAATAAAATACGCTGCTCATGACGCACATGAATGTTTTTTTTATATAAAATTAAAGCTATTTTTTTTTATTAATATGATAATATAAGGTTGCCTGAGAAAAAATGGTCGCAAATTAGGGTTGTCAGCTTTAAAAACGTTATTAAAGTCAAAGTAAAATATAGTTAGCGTGCAAGGACACTGGTTTGACAAGTGATACTTAATATGTATATTATTAACCATGATACTAAGACTAACAAGATAGGATCTTTTCGTAGTACAAAATCGGTCGTGTTCGCGCATGGCGTCATTGGAGAGTAGAATTTGAATTCTTGTTAAAGTTAAATGGGATTTGTACGCATTCTGTGATGAAATTATTCATTTAGCAAAATAATATTAAATGACTTTTTTGTGTTATTTGTGTACAAAAGATAATAATAAAATAATATTTAAAAAATTAGAAAAAAAAAGAAGAAACTAAACGAAAATAAGTTAAGAGTATTAATAATTACAATAATCGTACACATAAGGATATCTCCAAACTATTTATTAATGATTATTTGTTGATACATACAAAAAACTGACATTACGAACGTGAAACTCTGCAATTACGTCACGACATGCGCAATATCTTATCTTTTTAGTCATAGTATCATGTTATGAAGACTATATATCGACGCAAGCTTTAAAAACTCATACAAGTAAAACTAGCCATGTCAAACCAGTGGCGTTGTGCACAAGCTATATTTTTATGTATTTTTGACATCACGTGTTTTTGACAGTTGACATTCCTAATTTGAGACCATTTTTTTTCTGAAAACCTTATATCATCATATTAAACAAAATTAACTTTAATTTTAATAAAAAGATGCATATACGTCAAGTGCTGCGTATTTTATTTAAACGATAAATGAACGAAATTTTTGTTCAAAAATTAATTAACATTAACTGAATTGAAACTATTTGCGGTATGTTTTTGACAATTATTAATGTATTCTTCTCCTATTCTTAAATCGACTCACCCAGCGAAGACTTTACTAACCCATTTTTTAAGTTTTCGAATACAGCAAGAAAAGTCTTGATTAATGCAAAAAATCAGAGGTTCTTATTTACTAAATTGTTTTTCTATTTATCCATTGTGTATACCGTATTGTTCCATTTTTGCCTTTAAACATGTCAATTTTGTTTCCTTATTTGGATTTTAAATGAGTGAGTACAGTATTCGCTGTAAAAAAAATCGGGAATATAAATAATGCATACCATCGTTCTGTGAAACTGCATTAGTATAATAACATAAATTACAAGAATATAATAACAAACATTATTGCAGTTCTTCGTCGTCACTACTTGCAGTGTTTTCAAATTTTTCCGATTTATCAGAATGTAGAGTTTTATAGAAGCATGGTACATAGTAGGGATTTTTCCAGTATCGCAAAGACATAATAACCCAGTTAACTTCTACTTACAAAATATTTGTGTACACTTTAGATAGAAATTTATCAAAACGAGATGGACATCTTCTGCTTTTGTTAGATAACACAACACAAAAAACAACATTTGGTGTGTTATACGAAGTACTGAATTTCTTTACTTGACCATTCCTTTTCCATTATCAGTTTTTCAATTTTTATTTTTTGCCATTCTTATCAAAGTAATCCATTGTTCCAGAACAGACAACACGGACTGAGTTTTTTGCGTTTTCAATTACAGCATGCATATTGTCTCCCTCATTTTGGGTGTGACGTTACTATAAAAATCTATGAGTAATACTAACTTTCTTTATACTTGTATAAGAGAACATTGAAAATATGGCGTGGTTTCTGTTTTACCCACCACAGTTATCCGAATAGAAAATGACATCCATTATTTCCTTTTGTTCTTCATATCATCTGAAGTGTCTCTAGCAACGTTATACAGTATGGATATTTATCATCATTCAGCCAATCGCGTCCACTGCTGAACACAGTCTCTTCCAATGTTCTCTATAAGGGGCTGCTTGTAGCCAGTTTCCCGCTACTCTTTTTATGTCGGTCGATTTAGTCGGTGGTCATCCTCGGCTTCTTTTATGGTTTCTGGAACTTCCTGATCTTTTGCGAATAGTAGCATTGGGTATTCTATCGCGTAGAGAAATCCCCTAACATTATTCTCTCCATCGCCCTTTCCGCAACTTGAAGTTTACTCACTGTTTTCTTGTGAGTGTTAAGGTTTCTGCGCCGTAGGTCATCACTGGCAAAATATACTGATTAAATACTTTTCATTTCAGACACATTGGAATCTTAGACCTAAAAACATCCTTCATCTTTCCAAATGCAGCCTAAGCGAGGTTTATTCTTCTTTTCAGCTCGATCGTTTGGTTGTCTCGACTTATTCTGATTTTATGGCCCAAGTATTTATAGGAGTCAACTGGCTCAATATCTTTGTCTTCTCAGTAGAAGACAAAGATATTGAGTTTCACTTTAGCGTCGTGATTATTTCGATGACCTCTTGAACGCCTAATCTTTGCCTGATATGTTGGTTTATTATGTGGTCTCGAAGGCTGGCGTCCATCATTGCGCGTTCCATGGCTCGTTGTGTAACTATGAATCTATTTCCGGATCTTTGCGTCAGTGTTAAAGTCTGTTCTCCATAAGTTTGTAGAGCAAAACACATTGGTTATAAATCTTTAGCTTGGGACACATAGGAATTGAAGTTTTTAGAACACGGCATAATTTGTTAAATACTGTCCATGTCAAGCCTATTCATTTTTGGATTTCATGTGATTGACATGTAATTTTTTTCTTGTAAGATGTCTGCGATTAATACAATACCGCAAACCTAATATTATTTAATCTTTCTTGATTTACATTGATTCCCATATCTTGCCATTGAGTGTTTTTAAATATTGACGCTAGAGCTGACGTGAACAATTTTGGTGAACTATTGTCTCCTTGTCTTACTCCTCGACCTAAGCTGAATTTTTCTGCGTTTTCGTGTAGTCCTATATTAGATGTAACATGCTTATAAACGTTTCTGATTAGCGACGTATACCTGTAATCTATTCGGCTTTGTTTTAGTGCTTCCAGTACGGTTTCCAACTCTACAGAATCAAGCGTCATCTCCTAATCGATAAATGCAAGGACCAGTGGTATGTTGTACTCAAAACATTTTTTAATTAATATCTTTATGGTATGCCAGGGGGCCGTTCGTCTTCGACCTGTTTTATTAAATACAAAGCAAGATAGATATAAGAAGAGGGCCTGGTCGAAGAAGAACGACCCACTTTTCAAATCCCACTTAGGTCATTCATTTATTGTCCTTTGTGTTTTTGTAGTTTCATGCATAGTGTAGCTGATAATCGCTATTGTATACCTGGGTAAGTTTTAACATAGTTAAGCGAGGTTCTTTAACGACATTCTACAAGAACAAAATCTATTTGGTTCCTGCATCTATCATCTGGGGACTTCCAAGTATATAGGCGTCTCGGATAATGTTCTAATAATACCCTCTCAAATTTCTTCGTCATGTGCTTCTCTGATAAAAGTGGTATATAATATTACAAAAACTACCACATAGATTGATCAAACGCAAATCTGACATATTATTTGAAGTATATAAAAACTCTATAAAATATATACAACTATAAAAAAAAGGTATTAGAACTAAATTTGAAAAATCGTATGGTTTTAAACAATATTTTAAGTTATTATTCATTATAGAAAATACTAATTTTTCGTTAAGATTGCAACAAAATTGTTTATGGAGCAATTTAACACACAAAGTCTCGTTTAAACGTCTACATTTCATTATTTCTAAATATGTTTCGATACGATACAGTTTTATCACAATATCGCAACTCACCATATCAAAAAGGACCAAATTTTCAAACTAAAGATTAAAATAAAATTGAGCAATCAATTTTGCATGACTTACGGGATAAAACGCCTCTTGTATTAATTTCTTTTGGCAAAATAATTGTCCAAAACAAAAAGAAGTTCCTCTATTGTTCCTAATTACAAAAAACTACCTTTAAAATTCTAACATGATTGCTTTTACGCAAAATGAAACCATCGTTTCATAAAATCACAACCCTAAATGAAATAAGGTAGTCTTGACGTTGTGTGCGTTTCACAGTGATAATAGCATATATGATACTATCTAAGGTATAAATAGAATAGCGATACTATATTCTTACTACAGAAGTTGATATGGTAGATGGAATGTAAGCTCTATATTTTCTAGCCAGAATAAGTTGAAGATGAATTATTATTCACATTGCTCAATAACAGTTGAATAAATATCCAGATGCTTTATAAAATCAATACGAAAAATTGATCGAATATATAAAGAACTTGGCTCTGAGCTTATTAAAAACATTTAGTACACGATCTTCAATATCTCCACTCCCAGTTCTGATAATAAATAGCGCAAAAATAATCGCTGATGTTACTATGAACAACAAGACCGTAAAGAACAGTTACATGAAGTACTCTGTCCTTTCTATGCAGAGAGGAAAAGTAGAAAAAGTATGACAAATGCAAAGTATCAGTATACATCTGCCATACCGAATTTACGTGTGTATGTAGGAAGATGATAATTAAAGAGAAGAAAACCTTAAAACCACTTCAAATATATTTACATGGTTTTCATTCAGTTTTCCTTGGTACTTTGTACACTTTATTAACCTTTTTCTTCTTTTATTGACCATCGGCTTAACAACACTGATACTTACATTCTTGTGAACGAATTACTTCTGAAGCAAAATTAGAACTTTCCACTCCAATTTCAATTTTAAATGCCCTTCTAATTTTCTTATAAGTAATAATAAAAATAATATGGCTTTGACTACTTTCTATAGGTTCAGTATCTAAAACAAAAGTTAAATACATTTAATTCATTCTGTTGTTAATACCATTTTAGACATAAGCACATTTGATATTATTATTAACATTAAAATTTTCTTAACAATTAAAATTAAAATTTTGGTGACAGAATTTTTAGCTTTGATTCTTCTGTATACAAAGTTTGCTATTTTGATTAGTAGAAATGCTTTGATATGTAGGAATTTTTGACTCTGTTATTTACGACCAACATGTAACTTAGGTGAACAAGGATATGTTCCTCTTCATTTAAGAAGGAAACCTCCTGAATTTGTAGTCAAAATGTCTCCTTGTGAATCCAGTTTTTTGAAACGAAGCTTCTATACTGGCTTTCTATCACTTTTTTTTCTTTGCAGTAAAATGTTAAGGCAAGCGCCACGAGAGGGATTGATAAGAGTTCTGCATATAAATAGTTCCATTCGTTTTGTGATTATGCTCGTTGTTAAAAGTTTTCATAATCCAAAATATGCTTTATTTACCAGTACTCTCTTAAGCCTTTGAAAGTATATGTTCCAATCGTCAAATCTTCGGGTTGTCCTACTTGCATATTATTTGTCACTTTCATATATTTCGTTTTACTAGTATTCACCTGTAGTCCCATTATTTTTACCGCTGCTTCTAATGTCGTGAACGATTGGACCAGTTCCGCCGTTCTGATTGGTATGATGGCGATGTCATCAGCGTACGCTAGTGTGTGGACACTCCTATTAATAATTAATTGTTGCTCTTGTTGTTTTTCCAGATTCACTAATAGCTCTTTCTAGGGCAATGTTGAGTAGAAGGCATTCTGCACTCTAATCTTACACTCGACTGCTGAGATAGTTGCGTTCACCAGATTTACTAAGTGTACTGAATAATGAATTCTACCTTGGCTTTGTATATTTTGATTTCTTTCTACACTATCATAGATACATCTAAAATCTACAAACAGATGGTGAGTATCAATTCCAAACACATAAGTTTTTTCCAAAGACTAATATTTGATGGATCCTTGATTTTTCTTTATGAAACCCCCATTGGTATTTGCCTATTATGTTTTCACCATATCCCGATAGTTCATCATAAACAATATAGGCCAATATTCTGTAGGTCGCATTTAGGAGGGTAATTCTTTTGCAGTTGACACATATTGTTTGATCTCCGTTCTTGTGAATAGGTACAATTATACTTACATTCAATGCTTCTGGTAGTTCTAGCTGCTAACAAATCAGTTTAATATCCTACATATAGAATACGTCAGATTTTTGTGCCATGTTTTAAAAGTTCAGAAGGAATGAAATTTGCTCCAAGAGTTGCGTGTTCTGTTGATTTCTGCTTCTTACAACCTCACTCAGGCCACCATTATAATGAGCCATCAAAAAAATCGTAGTAGGTTGTGGATTTTATATTTAAATGCTTATATTTATCTTATTATCATTGTCAATATAAATGTTGGTTATAGACAGATTGTATTCAATTTTTGAATAAAAAATGGTAAACAATAAGTTAGGATACCTGGCTAAAATCCATACATACAATTTGTAATTCCACAAACTACGCTAGTTAGGTTTTTTTCGATGGTCCCATTCTGTTTAGGTGTGGTGGTTTTTTATCATTCGGGTAGTAATTATTTAGAAAAGAATTTATTTGCCAAAACAGTAATTACATCCGAAGTAGTTCTCTCTTAAAAAAGGTGTGGCTCAGGGTATAGTCTACCATTATTAATAGGCGAGCAGAAATGTGAGTTATTTTCACTTCCTGATGGCTACATGTATTTTCTGACTTGCAGAACTATACCGATTTGTCATTTATTTTTGTTTAATATTGATTTAGACTTCTTGATTGATTGATTTACGACGTAAATTAATGAGAATATGGTAAACAATTAGATTTCTATTTGTTTTTGTTTTTCTCTAGAATCCTGCTTAGATAAAAATCGCTTCCAAATAGTTTGTGTATAAAACAAGTTTTTATTTATAAATTGTATGTTAGAATAATACAAAAGATTTGCAGGTTAAATTAAGGTGCGATTTGTTCTATTGTTCATTTCATGCTGGTAAAACAACTTAAAATGCATAATTATTGTTCAAATTTAGATTTTTAATTAATATTGATTAATTCATTCTTTCATTAGATATATGACGACTATGAAAGCAGTAATATTAAACATGTATACAGAAAACGGTCATGATTTTAAAAAAACTAGAGAACTTTGTACAATTTGTAGAATCTCAATCACTTTATATTGGTAATTTAACTGAGAACATAATTTCAGAAATAGGAATAAATATTCAAGATATTTAGAATAATGGAAAAGAATTTAACGATGTTGACAAATCAAAAGAATTAAATTGTAGTGTTGATGTAATTAAAGCGGAGCTTGAATAGAGAAAGAATTTTAATCATATTTACCGTAAAAATTTATTGATTGCTAAATATCTGTTAGAAGGGCGGCATTTTTATCTTAAAAAGATTCAGGTGATTTTAGTCTAATTTTAATTTGTAAAAAGCAAAACTGCTCAAGGCAGGGCCAGTTCTAGAGTTTTGAGCGCCCGGAGCAAAACAAAAATGCTTAACCGCCGGGAAATGAAATATTTTCTATATTTACTATTTTGCGTATACCAAACCAGCTTACAAAAGGTGCTTGTCTTGCAATTTTAGATTCCCCATGTCGGTACATCCATCGTCTGCTTGCTTTGAAAATTGTAGAAGGCAGATTTAGGCAAAAACCTGAATTCTTGTTTCGAACACCTAGAAATCTTGAGATTTCTACTGCTTATTGTATTATTAATATTCATACAGACTTATAGAATATTCAACAGAGAAGTTATTTTATTATTACTTCCTTTGGCGAGAAATATTTGGTTTCACGTTCAGGGTTTCTACCAGTCGCTCTGATGAGTCCCGCTAGGACGAAATACGTATAAGCGACTTGTAGTGGTACTATACGTGAAATTAAATCTTCACTATCTTTTCTATATCTTTATTTATCCGTATCTTCCTCCTATCTTGTTGACATCCATATCTGATAAGCAGTTTTCTCCTTGTTGACTAACGTTTGCATATTCTCCAACCACTATTCTTGATTTTTTGTTTTCATATTTGTCTTTATAATCCAAAGCTTCACTTGCAGCCACATGAATGCATTTTTTAAGTTGCTGGTATAATTCTTCCGCTGATGTTTTTTCTCGATCCACATTTTTTAGTTTTGTGGCCAGTCGTAATTTGTAAAGAAATTTCGTTGAATCTTCTTTTAAGCTTTCTAGGTTATATTTAGGGGATGTTACTTCTTGTCCCTTTTCTATATTCTGTACCTGAGTGCTATTGTTTTTGAGATAGTTAACTATCACGTTGGCCATAAGTAAACAATGGTCGGATCCACATTCTGATCCACGGTATACCCTTACGTCAATTGTTTTCAGCTGGGAAGATTGACGTTGGATTACATAGTCGATTATCGAGCGCAGATTCCTAGTAGGTTGTATCCCTGTAAATTTGTGGATGTCTCTATGTTGAAAAAATTTAGATTTATCTCTATAAAATATTACTGTGTTACAGACCTGAAAAATTCTTCAACTTTTTTTACATAAAAAAATTATTGTTAAGATTAACTGAAGATTTCAAGATTTTTCATCAATTTGATTGTTTAGTATTTAGAACTGTCACAGATAACAGATAACAATTTACCTGTACCTATCTTTGATATTTTGGTACATTTTGAACATATGATCTAATTTGGTATTTGCTGATGATTCATTTAATATTGTTGATAAGATTGATATTTCTAATAGATGTCTAGTCTATTCTGAGATATTTAAGATAGTCAGATTAAACTTACAAAACATTTAACTATGCCGCAAACTGCAGTATTTGGCTATATTATGACAGGAAAGATATGAAATCTTTGATAAAGCGTTAATGTCATTTTTTAGTGCAATCGTCTGAAAATGAATTACAAAGATTTACAACAGATTTAGTCTCTTGTAGAACTAAAAAAGTGGAACTATAGACTCTGAAGAACAAATGTTATGCAAAGGGTATTTTAGAATAACGTTTCTAAAACTAATAAGGTCAATTTATAGTAATGTTTCCTTGGAAAAAAAGTTCATTCAGATTTAGCTCTTCTTCTTTAAGTGCCGTCTCCCATTCGGAGGTTGGATATTATCATCACTATCTTTACTTTATCTACTGCTGCTCTAAAGAGTTCTATAGAACTGCATTTAAACCAATCCCTTAAATTCTTCAACCATCACTCTCTTCTTCTTCCTATACTCTTTCCTCCTCTTATCTTTCCCAGTATTATCAGCCTTAGCAGTTCATATCGCTGTCCCCTCATTACGTGTCCCAGATATTGTAACTTTCTTATGCGAGATTAAAATGAGATTAAGCTCATTAAAAGATTATTAAATCGCGAGAATGGGTTTAAAGCTTAAAATGGATTGTATCAATTTTATGATTGAATATAAGGATTTAGGTTTTATAATCTTGGATAATTCAGATTCAATCACGTCATGAGGTGAGTAAAAGTGAAAGTTTAATGACTAGAGTTGTATAGGTCTGCACCATACAGTAACAGAAAATCGCTAATGGACATTCACTATGCTGGTCCAGCGATACATAATGATATGGAAATTTTATTCAGGTTTAAGGAGCATAAATTCGCACTGGTTTAATATATTAGTAAAATGTATATAATGATTAGTTTACATTCAGATGGCAGGTTGATGCAAAAGATTGTACGGAGAAAAAATCCATTTCACCAATTTTAACATATAAGTTAAACAGTAACATTTTTTTTTAAGAAGTCATTTGTTGTTAGAACAGCTAGTACTGTAGCCAATTGTGGCATATGAGGTTATTAACCTTGTTATAAGCAATATTCGCGAGGAAGATCAAATGAATAGAGAAAACAGAGCCGCAGTTTGCCCGAATGAAACAATATGGAGAAATAAAAATATCGGGAAAGAAATGAACAGAAGAATTTACAAAACAGTCATCAGACCAATAA